CCTTACATGCCCATAGCAGGGACCCAGTGTCGGAGTGACGCAAATGACAAGGTAACCCGAGGCACCGTCCTCCCCTCCACCAGGAGGACAGTTTGTCCTGCCGTGTGACTATTTGTCACTCTGCCTCTGACCTTAAAGTCTAAAATTTCATTCATAAGTTTGGAATCATAGACTTGGCAGCCTGGGAAGGCCCCTTGGAGAGCAGCTATTCTAGTCCAGCCCCCTCATATTACAGATGGAAAAAAAAAAAACCAGGGCCCAAAGGGAGCGGTGGACATGCCAAGGTCACACAGGAGGCATTTTCTGTTAGGTGGAAGCCAGTGTGGGGTCAGTTGCAGATCATGTCCACTTGCAGTGACCCAATCTGAGTCACTTGGAGAGCTCTATAAATACACAGGTTTCCACGCGCCTCTTTCTCAACATTCAGAGCAAGCGCTGCAGCAAGGCCTGGGCCTCTGAGTGGGCACCGTGATTCTCAGGTGGCTTGGCTGGCCAGGCCCACCAACTGCATGTGGAAGTCTGAATTCAGTGTTTCCTTTTCATGCTATAATTGGAGATACTGTATCTCAGCCAGAGGAGCCTGGGGCACCGTGGTTAAGCAAATGGGCTGCTAACACAAAGGTCAGGGGTTCTAACCCACCAAGCAGCTCTGTGGGAGAAATGACCTGTCAATCTGCTCCCCTAAAGACTTTCCACCTAGGAGACCCCAGGGAGCAGTTCTCTTTCAGAAAATTGCTACTGAGTCGATAAGAGCCCTGGTGGCATCATGGTTATTCATCATGCTGCCATCTGAAAAGTCAGCAGTTCAAAACCACCAGCCGCTCTACTCCTGTGCATTGTTAAGTCTCAGAAACACCCAAGGGTAGTAGGTAGCTCTGCTCTGCCCTGTGGGGTCGCGGTGAGTCCGTATTGACTGGATGGCCATAAATACCAAGGCGATGCATTTGAATGGGAAAGAATATCGAACGTACCATGGACGGCTAAAAGGATAAGCAAATCTATTTTGGAAGAAGTACAGCCAGAGCGTTCCTTAGAGGCAAGGATGGCAAGGCTTCGTCTTACATACTCTGGACATGTTGTCAGGAGAGACCAGTCCCTGGAGGAGGACGGCATGCTTGACAAAGTGGAGGGGCAGCGAAAAGAGGGAAGGACCTCAATGACATGGACTGAGTTGACAGGGGCTACCACGCTGGGCTCAGGAGCAGGAACACTTGTCAGACGGTGGTGCAGGCCCAGGCAACGCTTCCTTCTGTTGTGCACAGGGTCGCGCTGTGGGTCCGAACAGGGCTCGATGGCACCTACCAGCAACCACACTGAGTGTGAACTGACTGAACGGCAAACAAGACCCACCCAGCAACTTGGCTGGTGTCCACAGCAGCCCAGTGAGGGGCCCTCTAGAGCTCCGAGGGCTGACCCCACAGCTGGTTCTCATTCTCCAGGCTGTTGTTGTTGTTGTTAGGTGCCATTGAGTCGGTTCTGACGCACAGCAGCTCTGTGTGCAGCAGAATGACACACCACCTGACCCGGTACCATCCTCACAAGGCTTCTGATGTCTGAGTCCATTGTGAGAACGACGGTCAATCCATCTTGTCCAGGGCCTTCCTCCCTTTTATGGCCCATCGACTTTGCCAAGCACGATGTCCTTCTCCAGGCGCTGGTCTCTCCTGACCACAGGTCCCAAGCACAGGAGACAAAGTCTCCCCATCCTTGCCTCTCAGGAGCCTTCTGGCTGTCCCTCTTCCAAGACAGATTGATGGATTCTTTTGGTAAGCCATGGTAGTTTCAATACTCCTCCTGATCAGTACCATAATTCAAATGCATTGATTCTTCTCCAGCCTTTCTTATTCAATGTCCGATTTTCACATGCATAGGAGGCCACTGAAAACACCCTGACTGAACCCAGGGCAGATGATCCCTTCAGGACCAGTGGTGTGAGTGGCGGTACTGGGAGGATAGAGGGAGAGTGGGTTGGAAAGAGGGAACTGATTACAAGGAACTATATGTGACCTCCTCCCTGGGGGATGGACAACAGAAAAGTGGGTGAAGGGAGACGTCAGACAGGGCAAGATATGACAAAATAATAATTTATAAATTATCAAGGGCTCATGAGGGAGAGGGGAGCGGGGAGGGAGGGGGAAAGTGAGGACCTAATGCAAGGGGCTTAAGTGGAGAGGAAATGTTTTGAGAATGATGAGGGCAATTAATTTACAAATGTGCTTTACACAATTGATGTGTGTATGGATTGTGAGAAGAGTTGTATGAGCCCCTAATAAAACCATTAAAAAAAAAAAAAAAACACCCTGACTTGGGTCAGGTGCACCTCAGTTAGTTACCACAGTAATACCCTTGCAGGTCAACCCTTTAAAGAGGTCGTGTGTAGCCGATTTAACCAACGTGATGCTTCCTTCGATCTCTTGATGCTGTTTCCAAGATCATTGATTATGCAATGGGAAATTGCAAGGGAACATTCTTGGCAACTTCAGTCTTTTCTGTTTATCAGGCTGTTACCTACTGGACCAGATCTGGGGAATTTTTGTTCTCCTTAAATCAGTTCTCCAGGCTGCTGAGGTCAAATTTCGGAAGCAGGCCTTGGAGGCTGGCCAAGCAGTCATGGTTTTCCCCACCTCTCAGTTTCCTTACTGGAACTAAGACACAGGATGGTGCCTTTTTCCGGGGATTGGCTAGGTGGGGATTCAAGAACTGAAACCCCAGCGGGAAAAGGAAACAGGTGGCTGGTCTGTGGGTTGTAGGGTTTCCCCAGAGGGGAACTCGGGGCTCTAGGGATGCCTTCAGACTTCAGCTGTCTTGTCCTCAGCAAGGTCCAGGTGACCTGTGTTTTCCATTTCAGGAGTGGTAGGGAGGCCCTTGCATTGTGTATGGGAGATGGGGTTTAGGAGGCCCAGCTTGGGCATGAGGGCGGATTCCAGGAAGAGCCTCACATTCTCACACCTGGCGGGAAAATCTGAGCTGCTCTCGGATTTGGGCCCACCTCTCAAGCATTTTTCCTGAGCTTCTCCGCCCACCGCCTCCTAATCCTTCACCCCCCAGGTTCCTGTGGCAGAGGGACTCCTGGCTCTTCTTCCACTTGCCACCACCCCACCCCCTGTCTGTTTGCACTATCCCTTTCTGCCCTTTTTCTTTTTCTCTTGCAATGGCTTCTTGGTATTTGTCAGGTTCCTGATTGTGAGGCTCAGCTCAGCTTCCTGTAAGCCTGCTGACCCAAGGGGAGTCACGCTCCCTCTCTACATTGCCTCACCTATTAAAAAAAAAAAAAAAAGGCTGCCTGGGATTCTGACTCATAATCTGCTCCATACAATTTTCTTGGCTATAATCGTTAAGGAGGCAGATCGCCAGATCTTTCTCCTAAGGTGCTCCTGGGTCAGTTATAATCAGCAACGTTTAGGTTAGTGGCCCAGCGCAAACCGTTGCAATACTCAGGGGTCTCTACACCGATCAAACAGGGTTACTGTCTGCCTTCTCAGCTTGTGAGGACCAAACAAGATCAGGAAGGCACTTAGTAAACAGCAGCTGTTTTCCAAAAAGCACTCTATCCTATGAGCGATCAGTGAGCCAGAGGGATTCTAATAGATTCAGTTGGTTGACCTGAATGGAGGCGGTTAAAAGAATGGTAGTGTTGAAAAGCACCTCAGAAATCTTTGGACCCTAATGACTCCCCCGCTGGAGCTGGACTGAACTGTTGACGGCGTTTCCAAATGATAAGGGACATCATCACAGACCCTTGATAAAGTTCCCCGCTTCTTTCCTTCAGTCTGAAATTGTATCAACTCAAGGTGAGAAGACAGTTCTCACATGCTCTGCAGGAGTTCTGGCTGGCAGTTACCTGTGTCTGATAAAGTTTTTGTTTTGTTTTAAGAGGAACATCAAGTCGTGGAGGGGAATTAAGTATTGGAAAACTGTTCCTTTTGTCCAGTTCCTCATTTCCTAAGCCTGGGTGTTGCTCAGTCACACAGCTAGTAAGTGGTAGAGCTGGCTGTACCATCGGGCTCTTTTCCTGGAACCAGTGAGCTCTTCTTTCCATTCCAGACAAGGGGAACCTCGGATCAATGTTAGTAAGTAGTTTGGGTTTGCCAGGTCAGGAATGAAAGTGACTCATTAATTTGCTGTTTCCCTTTCTCTGACTTTGACTCATTCAGCAAATATTTACTGACTGTCCAAATGATTTGGTCTTCTGAGAGAAGGCAGAGAGGGCACACTCGTAAACCACAGGCAAAGCCAGGATTTGTGACTTCAGAACCTGCACATTTCCCAATGGGAACGAACTTTATAAAACATGAACCACTCTGCCTTCTAGTAAGTCTGCATTGTGAACAGTGTCTAAAGGCAGGGGCTGTCCCTTTTGTACGTATCCTAAGCCTCCTGGCAATGCCTCCACCCCCAACAAAACAAAACTCGCTGCCATAGTCAATGCTGACTCATAGCGACTCCGTTGGGCAGGGTAGACCTGCCCCCATGGGTTCCTAAGAGTGTAACTCTTTACAGGTGTAGAAAGTCTCTTCTTTCACTCCCGGAGGGTCTGGTGGTTCCTAACTAATGACTCTTTGGTTAGCATCCCGACGAGTAACCACTACACTACCAGGAATCCAGGGAGCACAACATCCTTGCTGGGAACCTTGCGATGGTGGGGGCCCACCACCTGAATTCTAATCCTTACTTTGCCACTTACTCTGCCCTTGAGAACAAAATGTTGCTTTCTTTCTTCAGCCCTTAGATCAATCGTCTGTAAAGGGGGCACAGTAGTGAAACCATGTCACGTATGAAAGAGGTTTTAGGTTCAAGTTATCCCAGCACGAGGGAGAAGAGAAACACTGGGCATCTACGTTGAAAACCGAGGCAATGCCAATCCCCTCGTTCAACTCCCAACACAGTTTCCTAGCTCTTGGCCTCTCTCCTTCGATTTAAACTCCAAGCACAGTTCCCTCGACCTTGGCCTCTCTCCCTGCATTTAAACTTCTCCTCTGGAGGGAACGTAATCCTTAGGCTCACTTCCGGCCGCCTCCGCTCTTCAATCTGCACTCTGCGCTCCGCACTACGCCTGCGCGCCGCCAGCCCCGCCCCTCGCCGCCAGCCCCGCCCCTCGCCGCCGTCCCCGGAAACGCGTCCTTCCCACGCCGCCGCTCCCGCCGCCGCCGGCGCTCGGCCTCTCTAGGCCGGGGGGCCTCCTCTCCATGGTCCCGTCTGTCCGCGCGCTGTCGGGGGTCTTCTGGTGAGTCCGCACGGCGCTCGGGCGCGCCGATGCTCGGGCCCGTGGCGCGGAGGCGAACTCCAGGACCGCTTGGGCTCGGGCGGAGGCGAGCCGCCGGGATGGGCCGGCGGCTCCCCGCTCCCCGGGAAGGGGTCAGCCCTCCCCGCCCACCCCGCCTCCGGGGATGGGCTCGCCCCCGCCGTCCCGGCCCCCCCCCGCGGGCGGGGGGCGTTGTCGGGGCGACGGCCGGCGGGCTGAGGGCCGGCGCTTGTCCCCGCAGGTGCCGGCGCGGCCCGGGGCCCCTGGCGCGGAGGCTCTGACGCAGGCCCGGGCGGCGGCGGGGGGCCGGCATGGCAGGGCAGTTCCGCAGCTACGTGTGGGACCCGTTGCTGATCCTGTCGCAGATCGCCCTCATGCAGACCGTCTACTACGGCTCGCTGGGCTTGTGGCTGGCGCTGGTGGACGGGCTGGTGCGCAGCAGCCCCTCGCTGGACCAGATGTTCGACGCCGAGGTAGGGGCCCCGGCCTGCGCGAGGGGCGGCGGGGGCGGGGGGTGTCTCGGCCTCAGCCCCGTGGGCTCTGGCCCAACATCCGTGAGCTCCAGACTCGCCCTGTGGCCCCGGAGATAAGGTTTCACCTTCCTGAGCCTCAGCTGCCCCGTCCGTAAGATGGGATGCCAGGTATCCGAGAGACAGGTTGGAACAAAGGGAAGGACGCGTGGACTTAAAAACAGAAACATCATTGTTTTATCATTTCCTCTGCTGGCTGGGAGATGCTGCCCGGGAAAGTGACTTCCCGTTTAGGGCCGGTTACCCCTTGCTGTGGAATCCATTCCGATTCTTGGAGACCCTATTAGACAGAGATCTGCCCCCATAGGACCACACACACACACCCCCACCAGCAACTGGGTCTGAACTGTTACCTTTTGGTTGGCTGCTCAGTGCTGTAAGCACTACTGCCACCAAGGGGACAAGGTCTATAAAAGGGGGCACAGTGGAAACTGCCTGGACTTTGAAGCCAGCTGCAGTTTCTATTACTTTCTGTGGGGCAGCTGTTGTCTGCTGCCTCTCAGAACCCCAGTTTACCCAGTTGGAAGATGGCCAGTCCTGAAGCCCGAGAGGCTGCCGCAGCAAGAGTCTACCTTAAGTAGCTCTGGTGGCACAGCGGCTCTGTGTGGGCCTGCTAACCAAAAAGAGCCTGCACTTTGGCTTCAGAAAGGTGCAGGGCCCGTGTAGGACCAAACACACTAGCTTATAGGACAGCCTGGAAACTGGGCAGAATCATTCTACCTTGTCCCCCTCTGCGAATGGCGAATGGCGTAGGAGGCCCAGAAGGCAATAAAATAGGAAAGCCCCAGCTTCCTGCCGCTGCATCGATGCTGACTTGGAGCAGTCCGACAGGACAGGGTGGAACTGCCCCGGTGAGTTTCTGGGACAGCAGCTCTACAGGAGCAGAAAGACACTTGCAGGGTAGCAGTCCACCTCGTGACCACTCTGCCACCAAGGTACTTTGTCAAAATGAAATAGAGGCCGGCCTAACATGGTTGGTACAGCTGAGAGGCAGCTGTGGTGTAGGGTATTGAGCATGATTCTTGGGACCAGGAGACCAGGGGTAGAGTCTTTGTTCCTGCTTATTCTTTGTGTAGGCCTGGGGTGAGTTCTTATCCAGAGAAGCAGTGATAATGACTTTGGGAAGTGGCTGTGAGGATAAGCTGAGATAATCAATGCCATGACCTTTGCACTTGCGGTGCAGATGTTTGGCATTCGACAGTATTGTGTCAAGGGTGCCATGAAGTTGCCCACTTAGCAGGTGCAACCGCCTATTAGGAGCCTCTCTCCTGGATAGACATAGGGGAATCGCTGGCCATCTGATGTTTGCAGCCTGAACTTCCCTAGAATGGGGGACAGCAGACCCTTTCTTGAAAATGAAATGGTAAAGATGTTAGGTTCCTGCTGTTGAGATGCCTCCTTCAAGCACAAAAACATCACCAACCAAACACAAAAGACAAACTTATTGCCATTGAGTTGCTGCCAACTCACAGTGATCTTTTAAGACAGTGTAGAACTGCCCCTGTGACTTTCTGAGACTAGAACTCTTTATAGGAGTAAGAAAACCCTGTCTTTCTTCTGCAGAGTGGCTGGTGTTTCAAACTGCTAACCTTTCGGATTGCAGCCCAAGGCCTAACCATTATGCCACCAGGGCTCCTAAAGCAACCACAGACAATGTCTAACATGTGCTTGTTTCAATACAACGTCATTGCCATATGTCCCTGGCCCGCGGTTTGCTGAACCTTGTTGTAGATCTTACTTACTCTTGCTGCTGACCTAGCATGTCACTTTGGGGAAGTCGCTTTATTTCTCTGAGCTTTCATTTCTTCTATAAATGGATGAGTGCCTTCCTCCTGCTGTGAGGTCACATGAGATGACTCTGCCAGCTGGCAATAAGTTGCCATCCAGAAGAAGGGGGCATTGTGATCTGTGCCCTGGGAGGAGTGCACCCTCCGTGGGGGCCTGCTGGGATCCTGTGGCTGGGTTCTCAGCCTGTCACTTCTCCAGCATGTTTCGCTTTGTGATTGATTCCCCCTCAGATCCTGGGCTTCTCCACCCCTCCGGGCCGGCTCTCCATGATGTCCTTCGTCCTCAACGCCCTCACCTGGTGAGTATCAGTGAGGGTTTGGCTTTGGGATCTTAGCAGGGGGACACACTTGCTACAATTTGGGAAGGAGGCAGCCTAGGCACCTGTTCCTGGGAAGTGGTGGACTACAGTGGGTGGTAGAGGAGGCCAGTTCCAGGGCTGGCTCCATCCTTGGGCTCCCTGCCCCTCTGTCTTGACTTAGCGGAACAGGTCTTCAATTCCTGTGTGTGTGCTGCCACCTCCGCTCACTCTGTGATGTTGGAAGGAGATGAAGAAAGGGTTGAACCAGCGGGGCAGGAGAACTGAGTTCTTATCTTAAAATGGGTGACATTGGCCACATTCCTCCTTCTCTCTGGGCCTTGGGCTCCTCATCGATACACTGAGTGGGCATGATGGTCATTTCTCAGGTCACTCGTGACCTTGGCCTATCTCTGGAGGCAGTTTTGCACAGTGAGTAAAATCTCAGACTCTGGAGGCCTTCTTTCTTAGCTTGGAAACCGGGCTTTACAATTAGCCTAGTGACTTAGGATGAGCTGCTTTATCTCAGCCATCGTTTCCTCAGCAGTAAAATGTGGCTCATAGTCTTACCCGCCTCCTAGTTGTAAGGACTGAATGAGTTAAGTCACCGGGAGTACGTGGAGCAAGACCTTGCACATTATGACTATCCTTGATCTTGACCTAGCCTGCAACTTCCACCCACATCCACTTCTTAAGATGTCTTCTGTTGGGCCCACCAAGTGCCAGCCCTTCACATGGTGCTTAGAACATTGTTTGACTTAGTTGAAAACTAGTATATTTCCTAAAAATCTAGATCTTTGGCTTCTCATGGAGGGTGGCGGTGGCGATCTGTTGATTCCGATTTTAGACCCACCTTCCAGCAAGGGCACATGTGCCTTAGAGGCAAGTAGCTGCTGTCCACACTTTAGCTGGAAGACGGATGCTTCGAGATGCCACAGTCGGTCTCTACCGGACCCCAAGAGTGACAGCTGCCATGTGTCATCAAGCATGCACACTTTCCTTCTTTTCAGCCCGATGCACTCTTGAGAGTGTCTGCCACGCTCTTCTCGGCTTCTAACAGCGTAACCCTCACCGCACACTTCCTACCTTGCTCGCTTCTGATCACTCTACTGCTGTCATAATCCACCCTTCCCCACCCCCCAAATAATCAATCACCTCCGCTAAAACCCGGACAACCCAGTGACAACTCACTGCTGTCCTCTCCCCACAGTGCCCTGGGCTTGCTGTACTTCATTCGGCGAGGGAAGCAGTGCCTGGACTTCACTGTCACTGTCCATTTCTTTCACCTCCTGGGCTGCTGGTTCTACAGCGCCCGCTTCCCCTCGGCGCTGACCTGGTGGCTGGTCCAAGCCGTGTGCATTGCGCTCATGGCTGTCATCGGGGAGTACCTGTGCATGCGGACGGAGCTCAAGGAGATCCCCCTCAACTCGGCCCCGAAATCCAATGTGTAGGCCTGGGCCCCATGGACAGACACCCTGCTGGGCACGTGGCCCCCCAACACCTTGGGTCGCTCAGACCTTCCCGATGAGGTCCCGCCTAGGACCGAGAGAGAGAGGGAGAGAGACTCCGAGACAAGCCCCGGAAATGTGAAGTCTCTGTGTCTGCGGGAGAGGTGGTGACGCCCGGTGACAAAGACAGACAGGTTGCAGGCAGGATGGCCTTGGCCTGCTGACGCACTGGTGTCGGGGAGGCCAGAAAGGGGGTCTCTTTGAGCGGAACGACAGAATTGGAGCCATGCCACTTTTGAGCCGCCAGCCCGTTGTCAAAAAGAGATCAAGGCTATGTGATTGGAGGAGCTCCCTCTCCTAGTCACCTGTTTTCCCTCCTGGGACAGCTCTTCCCTTCCCGAAGGTGCGGAAGGAACTACAGCTCTGCGGATGGAGAAACCCTTTCCAGAGCCACAGTTGCAGACACAGGCGGTGTGAAGCAGGAGGCTGCTGCCAGGGAGAGGACGGCTGGTGGAGACGCCAGGCTCAAGGGAAGTGTACACCTGTGTTCCGCCACGTGCGCCCCCATATGGGTGCGCCTGGGAACCCACAGTTCATTCTCTCTCAGTTCCCTCCACTGAGCCCCCTCCCTGCTGCCGGCTCTTCATAAAGCAGGCTGTACGACCGGAGAAGAATCCAGCATCGCTCTGAGCTACAGCCTCTTCCGAGGTTCCCCAACTTCCACTGGACCCTCGTTCATCCAGGTGGCACTTCCTTTTTCCTGCCCAACCTGCAGGGCTCCCGTGAGAAAGGTCTGCTGGGTGCACGGAGACAAGCCCACCCTCCGGCTCAGGGCTGCGCCAGTAGTGCCAAGGGAGACGGCTATTTGCGGCTCAGGTTTTCCTCTGGGGCGGTGTTTTCCTCTGTGAGGGGCTTGCAGCTGTCCTTGTGTACATAAAGCCAGTATTTTCCACAGTCTGCCTGGACTTGCTTTGTTATGCGTAGGTTAGAACTGAAGGACCAGCTGAGCCAGGCAAGAGCGCCACCCCTCTCCTGGCTCCCCGGCAGCCGCCTGTCCTGCCTCTGGAGCTCACCCTCGGATGCCTTTCGCACATGCCCATGATTCCCAAGCATGTTCGCTGGGGAAGTGCACCGTCTGGACCCACTTCTGCATTGAACCCTCCGCGGCCTGCCAAGGGCTGTCCTTAGTTGGCATCCCGAGGGATGGCTGTCTTCCAGGAAGCCTTGCTAGCTTGGCGCTGGCAGCACCACCAAATAAGGAGTTGAGGCGGACAGATGCAGGTGTGAGTGAGTGTGCCTCGGCCGAGGATGGAAAGTTTGAGACCAAGGCACCTTAGTAATTCAGGGTGTTCAGGCCCAGCTGGGAGGAAGCAGCTTATTTAAGGGACCCCAGTCATGACTGCAGGACCCAGGGGATCCGAGCAGCGGGGATGACTTCCTCTGGGTCTCTGGTTCCCCCAAACGCCACCAGCTCTAAAACGCTTGAGAGTTGTCAGCGCATCAGAGGTGGACACTGTCTTCCTTGACCAGCTGTGGCTTTTGTTCCAGCTGTGCTGGGAACACCTCTTTGTGAGTTCCTTCAAAGGGTCTGCCCATCCTTCTGCAAGGACAAATCCCTGTCCCTTGTCACTTTGACTTGGAAACTACTGAAAGGAATTGTCCCCCCTCCCCCCCCCCAATTTCTCAGTAATACAGAAGCTGAACCAGGTAGCTCTTGTGGGTCAGAGTAACCTTAATGAGATTTTTGGCAGTCTGTTAGTACCTCACTGCCAACCGCAATATTGAACCCAGCAGCCGCCCCTCGGGACAGTCTGCTGTCAAGATTGCCAGCGCAGAAACCCTGCTGTGCAATTCTCCTCTGTCCTGCAGGGGCGCTGCGACTCTGCGTGACAGCAGTGCTTTTATGAAATGAGCTTTTGATGACCTAAACTTAGCCACCAAACCAGTTTCTACAGCAAAGCCCCAGAAAGGGTTGGGCAATGACATTGGCACAAAGTTTGCCCTTGAATGTTCACTGTAGCATCTGTTAAGTGCCTAGGAGCCCTGGTGATGTTGGGCTGCCAACTGCAGTTGTCAGCTGTTCAAAACCATCAGCTGCTCCTCAGGAGAAAGATGGGGCTTTCTACTCCCATAAACAGAGCCCTGGAAACCCACGGGGCAGTTCCACCCTGTCCCCTAGGGTCGCTCTGAGTCGGCATTGACCCCATGACAGTGAGTGAGTTTATCAAGTGCCAATAGGAGCCGGGCACTGGGCTAGGTGGGCTCCTTTCTCACGCAGTCCTCACACAGCCCTCTGAAGTAGGAAACACTGTGCTGTGCCTTACACATGGGGCAACTAAGGAACTTGCCCAGGATATAAGATGGTAGGAGCTGGCAGATGCGGGATTTGGGCTCTGGTTGGGGCAGGGCTTTCTACTCATAAAGTCTCGGAAGCTCGCAGGCTGGTCTCCCCTGCCCTGTAGGGTCGCTATGAGTCAGCGTCTACTCGATGGCAGTGAGTTGGTCTTGTTTCTGTTTTATTGAGTTTAAGGTATGAGTTCATCTTGAGGAAGGAAGTCAGTATTTAGGACTGTGTAAGACCTGAGGGGTTAAAGAACTCTATTATCCCCTTTTACTTTCTTAGGTTATGCTTGGACTTCCTAAATATGTTGAAGAGCCTACCGTCGCTTTCTAGTCAAACTCTCATCACTGACTTGATTGTTAATGCCCAGTGTCATGGTGACTCCATGTGAGTCACAGGAGAACTGCCCCAGCCGGCCTTGACGGCGGGACCTTTGGGTGCAGATCGCCAGCGTTGACTCAGGTTCCTTGTGGGTCAGTTCAAACTGCGAACCTCACAGCTGGTAGTTGTATGCCCGTTATGGTTAGCATACCCAGGAGACGTATATGTACCTAGATATCTTTAAATACTGAGCCCATAGGGTACATACACCCCCCCTGTCATTAGAAACCCTGTGGGGCAGTTCTCTCCAGCCTGTCTGGCTGCTATGAGTCAGAAGCGGCTTGACAGTAGCGGGTTTGATGTGGGGTTTTAGGCTTGCTTGAAATTAGTCCCAGTGGTGCAGTGGGTTAAGCATGGGTTAGCCAGAAGCCTGGCAGTTCAAACCTACCAGTTACAGCTCGGGAGAAAGGTGGGAGAGCCTCAGCGATGCAGTGGTTGGGCTGGAGGTTTTCCGTGGGGATGAGACAATGGTGAAAAGAGCAGTGGGCCATTGGGGGTGGGGGAGGAGCAGAGAGAGCTGAGGGCACTGGGCTCTGCCCTGTGCGACCCAGGCAGTCAGTGAGATTCACAGAGATCCAGTGCTGGAGGGCAGTGGAGTCCGGCAGCCCCCGTTCCTGGCTTTGAGACCTGGGGTCAGCTACTTAACCTCCCGGTGCCTAGCTTTCCTCTTCGGTAAAAATGAAATCACTCACTGCCGTCAAGTCCATGCCGACTCATGACCCTATAGGACAGGGTAGAACTGCCCCGGTGGGTTTCTGAGCCCGTTCGGGAGTAGAAAGCCTCTTTCTCCCAAGGGGCAGCTGGTGATTTTGAACTGCTGACCTTGTTAGCAGCCCAGCACATCACCACTCCACCAGCAGGGCCCCTTCTCTTGTAAAAGGAGGGTAACAATAGCCCTTCCTTCCTTCCCTGAGTTCTGGCGAGGACTCAGCCAGGTGCCACGGGTAAAGCATTTAGCACAGTGCTGGCATGGAGGACGTGTGCCCTACATCGAAGCAGTCTCAGTTATGACAGCCACTTCCTCGTCTTGCAGGGGGAGAGGCCCCTCTCTTCCACCTCTCAGTGTTCCCAACTGTTGGGGAGAGGGGCTTCTCTGTGAGGGAGCCACGGCTGTCAAGTACGGAGTTCCCTGTCCCAGGTTCCACACAGAAGTTTCTGCATATTCTTACTTTATCCTATGAGATTTTTTTTTAAAGTGCCTATGAGGCCTGTTCCCACACCTGGCGACCCATGCGTGGCAGAGCAGGGCACCCCACAGGCCCTCAGTGGTTGGCTTTCCCGAAGTAGCTTGCCAGCCATGTCTCCCAGGACACCCCAGGGTGATTCAAACTGCCAATCTTTAGTTAGTTGCCACCAGGGAGATGGGTACTGCTGCTTGACCCTATTTTGCAGACATTCAGAATTAGCTTGTAAACAACTGTCCCCAGCCTCGGGGCTGAGAAAGCGAGACTGGCCTGCCTGCCCGGGCCAGTCATGTGAGCGGCACATGAGCCTACAATCGGGAGAGGTCAAGGTCTTATAATCCAGCAGAGGGTGGTGCTTGTGAACCGTGGTCTGGGCTGCTAGCAGGCAGCTAGAGGTCCCCAAAGGGGGTCAGTTAGGCAGCTGCTCATTAGCGAGAAACGGACCAGCGTGGGAGCTCCCTGTTCTGGCTGGCGCAGGGCCAGGGAGGAGGCGTCAAAAGTGCCTAACGTTTGTTCACCCACAGACTGGCTTCACCTACAGTAAATCTAATTAAAGCCCGTTTTGCTCAAGACTGGAGAGGATATTATTATCCCCACTTTATAAACAGATGAAGTAGGCGCAGAGATTTGTTAAAAGACACTCAGCTACAAGGACTTCAGTTCACCGCTCCCACTGCACCGAGTAACTCTTAGGGAGCCCTTTCTGGGAGCAGCCCCCTGATCTCAGGTCCACGGCAGCCTTCTCCCCAGAGCAGAATCTTACTCACTGCAGGAGTGGTTACACAAAGCAAGGCTGCCTGTGTGGGAAGTGGGGGGGTTGGGGTAAGGACAGGATCCTCTCGGACACCAAGGCAGGTGGAAAAAGGGTAGATGGGGGTACACTGTCTTTAGCCCTTGCCCCCCCATGCCCCATCCTAGCATCTGGACCCAGATTCAGCAGAAGGTTGAGAGGTACTGTATATGTATGTATCCACACACATGCGCACGGATACAGCATTCTCTATCGGTGGTGTGTTAGTCTGGGTAGACTAAAGAAACAAATGCATAGACACTCGTGCTGAAGAGAGAATTTTATATCAAAGATTAATTGCACATTAAGAATACAGCCCAGCCCAGTCCAGGTCAAGTCCATAAATCTGATATTAGCCCATATGTTGGCTACCAATCTATAAATTCCTCTTCAGACTCATGAAACACATGCAATGACGCTGAATGCAGGAAGATCACAGGCTGGTGGGTGGAAAGTCTTGTGGATCCAGTGGTGGTAGAGGCATCTCAGCGATGGCAGGGGTTTCCAAGTGGCTCCTTCAGCTGCAGGGCTCTAGTGTAGCTCCATGTGTCTTGTCAGCAAGCATGTCTGGGATAGTGAGCCTGTGTCCTGCCTCCAGCGAGCTATGTATCTCCTTAGACCCTCCAAAAGAGGTCATCAAGCTGTGACCTGATTGACAGGCTAAACTCCACTCCTTCACTCTTAAGTCTCAAATTGACAACAGATTATGCAACTACCACAAGCGGCAAAACCAAGAATTGCCAATTTTCCAAGACCACACTTCGCACGCCCCTAATTGGTCCCTAGGTAGTTTCCCTGGGAAGAAATGTACCCCTTCACTTAAAGAAGAGGGTGGAGGGGTTGGAATTTTGTTTGGGAGTGCAACACTGAGGCGTAGGACAGAGGCTGAGGACCGGTGGTGCCCGTTAGTTCTGTGGTGGCGGAGGACACTGGGGCAGGAGCCGGCCTGGAGACTGGCGTACAAGACTCCCCTCGCAGAGAGGAGCCGGTGCAGGGGTACAGATTTGCAGGGAATCACTCCCACTCTCTGTAGGCAGTGGCAGCTGGGGGTGGGGGTCGGGAGAGGTGCGCGTTGGTGGTATGAGTGTCGCGGCAGGGGAGCAGGGCTGGTGGGTTAAGTGGACTCATTCCATCTCCCCATCTGGGGCCCCTCTCATCTCAGCTGGATTTTCCCCAGGGAACACTCACTGCACAGCCTTGGTAGTAGTAGAGGCACAGTCTTTATATATTAAAAAACATTGTGAGTTGGGTGAGAAGGATCACAATCTTCAGCAAAAACCTGGACTCCCCCCACTCCTCCCTCCTTGTGATCTAGGTTGGCCCTCTTCCGAAAGACCCTTCCCGCTGCGCCCCAGAGGGCAGGGTGAGCTCTCTTGGGACTTGGGCTTGGGGTTGGACGGAAGCAACAGGACCGGAGTACAAAGTCCCCTCCTGCGGAGGACTCTGTCCCTTCCATGGGCAAGTGGCATGCCCCGCTGACTCCAGTATTCAGGCCCTTTCTACACGCGGTCAGGCTGGCCACTGCTGCCCCGTGTCTTTCTTAGGAAAGTGGAATGGGGAGCCATGTGGTGTGTCTGCTGCCTTTGGAGAAGCGGGATGGGCCATTGCTCTCCATCTGCTGGCTCCTCATCTCCTTGGCTCTCAGGGCCATTGTGAGGCGGCTGGCACCCAGGAAGCGCATGACACCAGGTCTGACGTCATAGAGAGAGGAGCAAGCCACTTCAGAGGCCCGCTGATGAGGCCGAGGGATGCAGTCCTCAGACTTTCTGCACCCCAGTTCCAGGCTGACCCTCGGGGGACTGGGGGTGGGGTAGGGAAATCCCAAGTGATGAGTCGGCAAGCTCCCTCCCCACCGCTCTCTGCCATCCATCCCAGCTGGCCAGCCCCAGAGAAAGAGCCATGGCCAGCAGCATATGAGAGGGTTTATTTGTACACCTGAGAATTTTCCCGCCCCGCCCCTCCCATGCGGCTGAAGATGTGATTTCGGCACTCTCCTGGGCGCACAGCCCCCTTGGGGCTCCCATCCAGGGTCACGCCACCTGCCGGGAGCAGAGACCTCAGGGTTAAGCCGAAGACTGTCCCCAGGTGCTGGGGCCTGTCCCAGACCTAGGAGGAAACCTTTTTGGGACCTGCCTTCTCCCACAAAAAGGAGAGGAGTATTGTCTATTTCTATCTCTCCCCCTCCCCCTTCCAGGAACTTATTATTTAGAATAAATCGATTTGAAGTATGCATACATAAAACAAATAGAGAGTTGATCTAGTCTTAAGAGGGCATGGGATGAGGCAGAGTTCTACTGGACACCCACTTGACTCCCTCTCTTGACCTCCTCCAACTCTTGACCCCACACACGCACACACACACACAATGCCCCCAGCCACCCCCACCACCCCCAAACACATACACTAAATCACTAAAACTGCTACTACATGGGTCGCCATGAGTAGGAATCCACTCTGGTGACAGAGAACAAGCTAGTTGCTTAGATCCCCAGCTGTGAGCCTCTGCTGCTCCACTGAGGCTCCCAGGCAAGGGTCATCTACCTGAGAAGCCCCTCTTTTTGCCCCAGAGCCCCAGGCCCCAGCCTAGCTACTGTACTGCTGTATGAAGTTGGCCAACGGCTTCCCACTCTCTACACTTCCCTCCCTGTGCTTAAAGGTGGGGCCTCCCAGCACTGCCAACCACAGTGCCGCCCAGACTCCAGGAGCCCGCACCTCCTGCCCTGGGGGAGAGCTGCATCTCACCCTGGTCCAGCAGCGGCCATCGTCATGCCCTGTATGGATGGCACATGGGCAGCTCCAGCGTTGCCGAGCAGTAGCGGGTGCAGCAGCGCTTGACCAAGCGCAGGGTGGAAGCTCTGCACATCACTCGGGGCCCTGGGAGGCGGATTCGCGTGGGCAGCCCCTCAAACCAGACCCACCGATCAGCTCTGTCCCGCTGCTGCTTCGTATCCCCCAAGGGCATGCCCAGGCCGTAGGTCTTCAGGAAGACTACCCCGGGAGCTCGGGGAGCTCGGCTAGATTGCTGGCTGCACCGGGCCCTGGGGCACGTGCTCTCCCTTGTTGTCCTGGGAGCCTCCTGCTTCCTCCGCTCTTCTCTCTGGGGCACCGCTTCAGGTGTCCGCTTGGCTTTACATTTCACTCCGGAGTCCACCTGGAGCTTGGGTTTCTTGGGCTTCACCTCTTTCAATTCCTCTGTGGGCTCCAGTCTCTTGGGCTTGGGCTTCTCTGTGGAGCACCCAGCCTCCTGGAGCTCTGTATTATTATTTTCTTTCACTTTAGGGGAGATGTTGTCCCTGGGAAGGAGAGGGGGACCAGTTGGTAGGGCTAGACTAGAGCCCAGGGCTCCCAGCCTCGTCCAAAACAGTTGCTCTGTAGCCAGCTCAAGAGGGCCTGAAGAGAAGCTTCCCAAATTACCCCGAGGCCTTGTACCTGGGGCCAAGGGCTCACAAGTATGGGCAGGAGGGTTGAGAGGTGGGAGGTGGAACGATAGCACCCAGTATTTAGAACACCTAAGAATATATCATCTGCATCTGCCCCCTGGCCGGGGCTCTGCCTCTCTGGCCTGCCTGTGAGGAGGAAGTTCCTGTCTGAATTGTGTTCCTGGGAACCTCAGCATTCTGAGAAGGGGCCTCAAATGTCCCTCTCCCCAGGGAGCACAGGATGAGAACAGGGTTCCTTCTCCCCCAAACCAGACATTCTGACGCTCAGCAAGATTAGTACTCAGACTCTGGAGCTGGTCCATGAGTGCTTTTCTGGGGTGTATTGACTTGAGGGGGATGGGGCAGGAGGGGTGACCCCCCCAGTGTTCAGGTTGTGGATAGCCTCACAGATGATTATGACCATGGTCATGACCTTGACTTGGATATCTGATGGATATGGTTTCAAATCCTACCTCTGCCACTCACCAGTCCTATTACCTGGCACAAATCACTTCCCCTCCTGAGCCTCCACTTCTCCCATTGGTAAAATAAGGCTAAACCAGGTAAGAAAGGGAAAACAAATACCCTTCTCACAGAGCCCTTGTCAAAAGCAGACCTGTTCCTGACTCCCTCAGTGCAATGCCTGTGCCCCCTAGTGAGGAAAGCACTGTTACCACTGAGTCTATGGCCGGGAGGCAGCTGGGACGAACTCACCCGGAGGAACTATTGAGGGTCTTCGGAACTCTGGTCAGTGAGTTCCAACACCTTTTGGCCAGGTTATGCAGTTCTTGGATACGACGATTCGAACTCTTGAGTAGCTTCAAGAGTGCTAACTTCTTTAATACCTGCCAGGGCCCAGGAACCAGAGAGAGAGAGAAGCTCTAGCGCTCTTGCTTTAGCCTCCCACTGCCCAAACCCGTCCAGTTCAGCTCGGCTCCTGGTCCTTCCACAGCACAGTGTGGGGGCTGAGCATTCCGAAAGCAGGGACCAAAATGGGACATCTCACCGATTTCAGTCGGGTCCGCTCAATTAGTTTGCTGACAGGATGCTGTCTCGTACCCTGTGCTTCCTCATCGTGCATCTGAGGGTCAGAGGCAGAGTCAAGGAGAGGGAGCCCTTTGAATGCCTCCACCAAGCCCATGGACTTGACTGAACATGGTTTCGCCGACCCCACACCGGGGGGTTCTGGCCGCCGTGGTTTGGGACAGAAATGGGGAGGCCAGTCTAACCCTCCCCTTTCCCTCTCCCGCAGGCTGGAAAGCCCCTGCCCTTGGTGTGGCTGGATCTTTGTTAGAAGGTTCACACCCAGGGGATAGTCCAACCTTGGAAGCCACTCCACTCCCGGGCCTCTTCTTTGCTGTTGGACTCATGCTGGAGCTGTGAGTAGACTGAAGGAGCAAGACTGGTCCCAGGCACTGCCCGCACCCTGCCCTGCTCAGTTCAGCCAGCACTCAGGCTGGGCATCAGCATGGTTGTGCTGGAGCCCCCGGGAGGGGAGCTGTGACATCACTGAAATGTGTGACAGCAGCAGGGCTGGGTCTCCAAGGATGACTTGTGTGTCAGGGGTGGAGGGAAAGGGGGAACCCCTGCCCATGGAGAAGTCTAGTGGGTGCCAGGCAGCAGCCTCTACTGCCACAATCTCTCTTAAGAGGTAAGAGGGCTGTCCGATCTTTTTCATGAAAAAGCCAAGGCTCACAGAAGCTCAGTGATTTACTCAAGGCCAGACAGTAGTGGAGCTGGTCCCCTGATCCAGGCCTGAAATGAGGGCATCCCAAACTCTACTCAGCTAGTTGATCCTGTCCCTTATTTTGACTGGCTGCTGCAGTGTCCTAATTCATATTCTCGATTTTATCTCTCTAGTTCCCAATAATCACTGCACTGGCTATGCAGAAACTCACAGACAAAATTCACGATTAAAGGCTTTATTAAGGAAGATAGCAAGCTGTAATGCTAGTGAGAAATGCTCAGGGTTGAGTTGTTTATCGGGATATGTTACAAAGCTTCAAGTCTGCTAATATGCCCAAAGGGGCATACCACTGTGCTGTAAGCCAACCTCTCTGGGTCGGCAAACCCAGACCTCTGAATTAAGCGCCCAGAGGTACCTCGCTCCAGTAAGCCTGAAGGCACTTGGCTCCACTTCTGTGGGTCAGTAAGTCCAGCTTCCCCAATTAAGTGCTGCCCAAGGCGCCCTATTCCAGTAAGCCTCAACCCAAAGGCACTTGGCTCCACTTCTGTGGGGCAGCCAGGCCAGCTTCCCCAATTAAGTGCCCAGAGGCCTTCCACTCTGCAAACCAGCACTCAACTTGCCCCATGGGTTGGGAAGTCCATTACGGTTCCATGCTCTGGCTCCTGGTTCTACTGCTGCTCTGCTGATGGTCTATAGCTGTCATCTGGATCCAGGAGGTTCAGATAGGGTAGGGCTCTCTGGTCCAAAGGACCCCTTCTACACCTGACTCTTGCTGGTGAGAAATGCTCAGGGTTGAGTTGTTTATCAGGATATGTTACAAAGTTTCAAGTCTGAGTAATGAGATCCCTCTTCCCAGTAATGAGATCCCTTTTCTTGATTCTCAGAAGGTTCATTTTATACACAGCAGGATGACATGCCAGGCGAATCCCGTATCTTTCATCCACCTCTTTCCCAGACCCATTCAGGAAGAGGCCTTTTGATGGGAGTTAGAGACCTCGATGAGAGGAGCCACAGTAAATAATTCATTGTGCCTGCAGGTGCCTGGCACTTGTCAGGCACTGTTGTAAGTACTAGAATTGAAGAAAGTGCTCATCCTTTCTTTAAGGAGCTTAGAGTCTATCGAGGGGAAACAGACGATCTGATTGTAAATATTTAATAACCGGCCAGTTGTTTAATAATTGGGCTTCTGAAAAAATAGATATGTGTGTACATATAGATGGATCCTAGTGACGCCTTCAGTCTGGACATTGGACACTGTAAGACATGAAAAAACAATAGTAATTTATAAATTATCAAGGGTTCATGCGGGAGGGAGGGAGGGAAGGTGGGGTAGGGAGGGGAAAGATGAGGAGCTGATACCAAGGGCTCAAGTAGAAAATGTTTTGAGAATGATGATGGCAACAAATGTACAAATGTGCTCGACACAATGTATGTATGTATGGAGTGTGATAAGAGTTGTACGAGCCCCCAATAAAATGATTTTTTTAAAAAGAAAGAAAAAAAGAAAACCCAAATCCTCACAACTGGACCAATAGGTCACATCATGGTAAATGGAGAAAAGATTGAAGTTGTCAAGGATTTCATCTTGCTTGGATCCACAATCAATGCTCATGGAAGCAGCAGTGAAGAGATCACATTGCATTATGTATTAGGTAAAACTGCTGCACAAGACCTCTTCAAAGCGTTGAAAAGCAAGGATGTTTCTTTGAGGACTGAGATACACCTGCCCCAAGCCATGATATTTGTCACCCCATATGCATATGAAAGTTGGACATTGAATAAAAAAGACCAAAGAAAAATCGCTGCATTTGAATTTATGGTGTTGACGAATAATATTGAAAGTACTATGGACTACCACAAGAACAAAGCGATCTCTCTTGGAAGAAGTACAGCCAGAAGGATCCTTAGATGCAAGGATGACGAGGCTTTGGCTCATGTACTTTGGACATGTTTTCAGGAGAGACCAGTCCCTGGAGAAGGACATCATGCTTGGCCAAGTGGAGGGGCAGCGAAAGAGAGGAAGGCCCTTGACGAGATGGATGGACACCTTGGCTGCAGCTGTGGCCTCAAACATAAGCACAATTGTGAGGATGGCTCAGACCAGGCAGTGTCTCCTTCTGTTGTTTGTAGAGTGGCTACGAATCAGAACCAACTGGACGACTTGGGCTGCTAACCTCCAGGTCAGCAGAAAAGCCACCAGATGAAGCTTTCTGCTCCTGTAAAGATTCGTAGCCAGTAAAACTCTAGGGAGCAGTTCTGCTCTGTCCGTATGGTCACTATGAGTCGAAATCAATGGCCATGTGTTTGTTGGGTTGGTATATGTGCTTGTATTTTAAATTTTACTGATACAAACAAAAATAAGGTATGCAGACCTGTTAGGCAGGGTTCTCTAGAGAAACAAAACCAGGACACTTAAGATTATGTATATATAAGGATAGGTTTATACAGCGAGAAGGAATGTAACAGTACAGAAGGCTTAGTTCAACTCACTTTCATGACATACTAGAAGTCCTTCAACTCACATGGGCTGCTGGGTCCAAGGTCAGGGAAGCAGCAGAGTCCTCCCTCGGCCAAGGCAGGCAGTCTGTCCACGAGCAGCAAACAGCAGGGCAGGTCAGCAACAGTCAGTAGCTCAGGAGCTTAGCGAAGCAGTCCCGGATAGAGATGGGATATCAAGCTCAAACAATACAAGGCGACAGGATCCACCAGTCTCAAGTTTAAGTGATATATGCTCCAGCAGGGTGGCGAAGCAGGTCTGGAAGGAGTCTCAAGCTCTAGCGACACAATCCAGGGGTTAGCTTGGCCCACAGGTAGTATAGCTCACAGGTTGAGGCAAAGAACTAGCTAAAGCAGCAGCACACTGGCCCAATCTCCAGACAGCGAGTGAGAGGAGGGTGGGTCTGTAGAGCCATTTATCTTTCTGCCCTGCAATCAAACTGCGACCTGATTAATCCCACATGTTCCTATTGGTCACGTTGGCACAATAAACCTAACTATCACACTGCCATATCATTAATTGACTCCTATAGAATACTTTACTTGATTTTTCCTAACCCTTGTATCTCTAGCCACCCCTGGATGGACCAGATGAACAAGCATACTTCCAACAGCGTAGTTCCGTTTATATAGGGAAGAAAGTGAAACAACAAAGATGTCAAGTTTGCTCTTTTGTCAATAGCATCATCGATCTACTTACAGAATTAGATCATAGTTTTTGAATATTGAAAGAGTAGTATTTTCTCAAGTTTTTAAGTGTTACATGCACAATGTAACAGCTACAGCCACAACATGTTTAAGTCTAATCTGCATTATTAATATTTTCTCTATAACTTTCTTAAGTGAAGAGCAAGGGTTGGCAAATTTCTTGTGTAAAGAGCCAGATGGCAAATACGCTAGGCCAGATGGGCTCAGTGGCAACAGCTCAACCCAGGGTCGTTGTGGTACGAAAGCCGCCATGGGCAAAGTAGAAGCGGATGGGTGTGGCTGTATTCCAATGAAACTTTATTAAAACAGGTGGCGGGCTGGCTCGGGCTGGCTTATTTTGCAGTGGCTTTGCCAGAGTTTGCAGACACTTGGTGGAGAGACACTCAACAAAGCCAGACATTAAGCCTGATTTGTGACATTTGCTTACTGCGTCACGGCCAAGTTCAAGCTCTCGGTGTGAGCTCACTGAACAGGGAGCAGCCAAGGGCTGCCCAGACGTGGCATCGCCTTGTTGCTTTCTACCACACGGCGCCGTCATCTCAAGCGGGGAACGTCCGGAAGGAGGTGGAGAGCTGGAGCATTTTTAAACCCGTTTGTATATTTTATTTTGTTTTTGGTGAAAATGTGTTGAGCAAAACCGGCTCTCACACTGCAGTTTCTAAACCTAATGGTCAATGGCGTGCTCGTCACATTGCATCAGCATTCTTCTTGATTTTTGCTTTAGCGGCTTACTTTCTTTACTTTTTGAACAAGACTGTTACTTGGCTTAAAGGTAGTCTCGAGGTTTGAAGAATCACTTGAGAGGAAGGTCTTGGGGGCTCTTCTAACCTCAGTTGGTCTAGTAAGCCTGCTGGATTCTTTGAGAATTTAAAGGTCTGCTCTACAGTTACTCTCCTTTTTTCAACACCTTTGGTTTTAAGATCATTACTCATTGTAACCATTTATCATTCATTCATTGAAAGGTGATGGCTGGGCATTAACAACTGGCCTGCAGAGTGCCTAGACATGTTACAGTCGCTCTTGCTAAGCTCTGAGCCAGCCTCAGCTGGGCATTGTCTTCCCCGAGGAAGTACTGTAGTGGTAAGTGCTTGGAGAAAGTAAACGGGCTAAGGAGCAGGGAGCGCACAGAGGGGACATCTTCTCCAGTATGCGAACATGGGAGCAGAGACCTGACTGAAGTGGAAGCAGGGGAGAGTGGTGGAGGGCAGATCATGGAGGGAGGGCTTGGTAAGGATGCCGCTGCAGCTCTGCAGCCCTGGTGCCTGGGCACCTGCACCCAGACGAGGCAATCTGTAGACCACACCGCTCCTCCACCCCTCGGTTGGCCAAGCTCATACCTAGTCCAGTTTGGAAACCACTCTACTCCCTACTGTTTCCCAGTGGGAGAAATGTACATGCGTAGGGAAGGCTTAATGCTATCTTTTGGGGTGACCAAGCCCGGACTGTGGACGTTTCTAGTGTGGTTTGCTGTCCTCTATC